CCTATTTTTTGCAGAAAAAAAAATTTACCAGGTGGTGTTTAGTTTACTTGAAAAAAAAAAAATGAGCTTCTCCAGAGTCGAACCTTACAGTGAGTCACCTGTACATGCCTAACGAGGCACAATCATCCACCCGGAGCAGAAGCTCAATAAACCTGAATAAATGAATAAGCGGAAGAATGGGACGGTGTGTTAGATGCTCCAGGGAGTTCCGGCGAAGAGCTGTGGGATCCATACTCAAAGCTCTCACAGCCTGACATCACTGTAATTTTGATTTGGGGCAAAAGAGAGACTCTCATCACCAATGTGAGGCCTGGCCTACTAGTTGAACCAGCGGACTCAGGGATCATAAGCCTGGATATCATGTCACATGATCCTGGGACAGTAACCTAACCTCGGGTTTCAATTTCCATTTAAGGACGTGAGAGCAGCACATCTGTTCAAATACTGTTTGCGGTTGCCAAAGGCTGAGTTTCCAACAAGAAGGACGTCATTGTAAATACCTGCTTTTACCCCTGGATGGGAAACAAGGGTCCGGTGAATGAAGAGTTCACTTATGCAAGTCACACATAGATAGATAGCCACTTTGCAGGAAATAAGAATACTTGGCCCCAAGCAAAAGCCTATTTTGCCACTTCCTAATTCTGTAGCTTCGGAGGCTCAGCTTCTCGAAGCATTTGCTTCTTCATTTGTAAACTGGAAATGATAAATAGCATCTGTCTTAGAGAGCAGGGGTTGGCACACATTTCTGTAAAATTCCATAGAGCAATTTTTTTTTAAATTTTCATTTTTTGCTTTGTGGGACTTGTGATTTCCATTGCAACTATTCAACTCTGTAGTTCCAGAGGGAAAGCAGCCAGAGGCAATACATACATAGAGTCATGGGTATGTTCCAATGAAAAGTTATTTATGAATACTGAAATTTGGGTTTCTGATAATTTTCAAGTGACAAAAATATTACTCTCCTTTTGATTTTTTTAAAACCATGTAATAACCATACTTAACTAGGGCCATACAAAAACAGGTGGCAGGTTGAATTTCGCCCTTGGGCCATAGTTTGCCACTGTGTGTGATAGACCTTCTATGAGACTTCAGTGAGGTTATAGTGAGGGCTCAACAAGTGTCAGCCATTATCACCCTTACTACTATTAATTGCAGAAGTGAAACACAAAGTATGATGACAACTCTGTAGGTATGCATAGGAAGAAATGTGATGTGTTAACACTTAGGATATTGAGATAGTAAGATCCAGAATAAAAAGTTTCTCTTTTTTAAAAAAGAAAGCATAAAATTACATTAGAATTAAAACATAATTTAAATAAATACACACAACCCTAAAAACTGTTAACAATAATTATATTGACTATACATTCTATTGATTTATTTTTTTAAGAGAGAGTGGAAGAGAATGGGAAAGACAGAGAGAGAGAGATGGATGTGAGAGAAACACATCGATTGGTTGCAACCAAAGTATGTGCAGGGAGAAGCCTGCAACGGAGGTATGTGTCCTTGACTGGGATCAAAACCAGGTTCCTTCCGCCCACAGACTGACACTCTGCCTACTGGGCTATACATTCTATCATTCTTTCACAATTCAGAGGGCTCTTTGGATGTTCATTATGCCCAGGGATCAATGCTAGGCACTGGTTACCACTGTATAAGACTGTAGACACAAAACCCAAGACTGCAGGGTTAAATCTATGCAGATCTTATAGCACACCTAAGATCCTGCTTTCCTAGTAGCTCTACATTCTACTCTTCTTTGCTCTTCTTATCTGTGTGTTTATTGTTATAAACACAAATGAGGCCACAACCTAATGAGCGAAATAAACAAACAAACAAACAAACAACAAACAAACATGCCAAATACAGTACCATGTTCAAGGTGAAAGCAGCGGGAACAGAAAGGAAGAGTGTCTAACACAGTCTGGAAGTGGAAGTGGTTGTAGTTGGACTGTTAGAGAGAGCTTCCTAGGGAGAGAGAGAGAGAGAGATGGAGATGGAGATAAATTCTGAAGGAGGAGGAGAAGGAAGCCAGAGTGTAAGAAGAATATTCCTGATAAGGGAATCCCATGGGAAGGAACATAAGGCAATGGCTGGAAGGAAGACAGAGCACTGAGGGGATTATAAGTATGGGAGCTGAGGATGGCTGGAGCATAGACAATGGCAGGATAGTTGAGAAGATGGTGCTAGAGAAGTGGACAAGGGTCTGTCCTTTCCTTTTTGTGTACCACAAGAATTTTTAAAACAAGCAATATCTGACTATTTAGTCAGGGCACTGACCTATTTTCCCCTGGATTGTCAAATTAAAAATAACAAAACAGTCAACACAATAACCATCTGGTGTGAATGAATAAAAATTAAACCTATTTTGGTCAGATCAGCAAAAACCTATTTTTTGGTGTGCTGAAGAATTTTAATAATTAGTTTATGTGTACCTGAGATGAAAAAGGTTGAAAATCACTGCCACATGCCCTACTCATGATCTAGGACTCTATCCTAGTCATTAAATCATCACTCCATTTGTAAGCTGCAGTTATTTCACTGTAAAATGATAAAAATGATGTCCCCCTGTAGGGTTAATGCTGGGAGGAGGAAAAGAGACAGTGTATTAGGTCCACACTATTCTTCAGGATATATACTTTATACTACTGAAATTGATCTATTAAAATTGGTTTGAAATAACTTTCAAATGAAAGGTATATGCTGTTCCATAAAGCACTGCAATTTCAAAACAATGTCTGCATTTCATAGCCTCGAAGCCTTCAGAATTTTTCTATGAGCTGATGGTGGATTTCATGAAGGAGAATCACCATGCAGTCTAGTCTAAGACAGGAATGAAGACAATGAAATTACGCAGGAGTTAGAGTTGGGGAGGTAGGAGAAGGAAGGAGGAGAAAGCAGCCAGAGTGTAAGAAGAACGCTGCCTAAATGGCTCTGATGGCAAGGCTCTTGAAGAAAAAGTGTAGATAGAGGATCATTCTGAATGTTTTGTTTGAGAGTTCAAATTCCTACTTCAAAATACATCAAAACAATTATCACTTAAATGTATTTGTTTGTGAGAAATCGATTCTAATGTGTTGATAAAACTATTTTTTATTTGTGTTGCTTAGTTTGTGTTTATACTTCAATAAAAGAGTGACCTCTAATTCTTCAAATGTGGCCAAGGGCTCTGCTTCTCTATGACTTCCTAATTTGCTTTGAAAGGAAAGAGGTAAATGAAGTATGTAAATATGGATAACAGTTTAGTCTTTGGATGAGGAAAGTTTTTTATTTTTTATTTTTATGAATCATGGGAATGTGATTTATGTCAAATTATAATAAATATTTTCTTGAAAAAAGTTGAATTGAACCTAACAATTATTTAAAAATACATAATTGAAAGAACTCTTATGAACTCTTATACATAAATATTGGAAATAGCAGCCCAAATGGCTAGGATCAGAAGCAAAAGTAACAGAGGTTAATTATTCTCTCAGCTTTACTTCTGTCATGCTAAGATTGCTATTCATTTGTATTTCTTATCTGTAAAAGAGAGACTGTGCTTGTAATCCACAAATATCCAGGGTTGGAAAGTGTTATCTTATTTATTGTTAAATCTTTATTGTTGAAAGTATTACATATGTCTCCCTTTTCCCCCCAATTAGCCCCTTCTAGACTGTCCCCATCCTGTCCCCCTCCCCACTCTCCATCCCCTGCCCCAGGCCTTCATCATCTTAATGTCTGTGTCCATGGGTCATGCATATATGCATGCAAGTTTAGAAAGTAGAATCCTATATAATAAAAGCCTAATATGCTAAGTGTCCATTTGTCTAGTGGGCCAGTCAACCAATCAAAGCATAATATGCTAATGACACGTTAAGACAGCTCAACTGTTTGCTATGATATGCACTGACCATCAGGAGGCAAACGCTTCTACCAGCAGGTGGGCTTGATGGTGGGGCCTGGTGGGTCAGGACTGAGCAAGTTGGGCCAGACACACTCTGGAGCCCTCCCTCAGTCCTTCCCTGGCTGGCCAACCTCCCGCATCCTTCCCTGGCCCTGATTGTGCACCGGTGGGGTCCCTCGGCCTGGCCTGTGCCCTTTCTCAAGCACACGAATTTTGTGCACCAGGCATCTAGTTTTAAATAAGTGCATTGAAACATTCTGAGAGTAGAAAGATTTTGTTTCAGAATTCTAATGTAAATCTATCCCAGCTCTTATGGTCTCTGTTCCATAGGACACACTAGCTCCTGTTTCTCAACCACAAGGATTAATTACTGTACCACATCCTTCCATTCTGTGAGACGGTTAAGAAAGAGAGGCTGTCATATGAGTTAATTGACCTCTGCACTGAATAATTTGTTTTGTTTTCTTCCCAATGGCAGTCAAATAGAAATGCCATAAAAATATAAAAAATTGATTTATCTCTTTAGGAGACCAAATGCAATATTCAATAAGAGCCAAAATAATAAAAAGTACTTAGTACCCTTTGACCCACTGATTCTATTTCTGGGAAGAAAGCAACAGAAGCATTACACAGTAGAAAAGAAAAACAATGGAAACAAAGTGCCCAATAGTTGGGGAATGGTTAGCTCACCCAGAATTATAAACTGGCAAAGTATTATACAGCCACTTATAAGGACACAAACAATGGTTGTGAAAATACGTTACAAAATTTGTATAAAATGATGCTAAATGCATTGTATATGTATATATTGATTGCAAAACTGCTTAAACCATGAATTTATATAATGTTGAAGATGGAAATTCATGAGACATGTAGGAAGTATCTGGTCTACATTGTATATGGTGTTCTTTTTAGCAGGTTATTTTTTGGGGTAGTGTTTGAAATAGTAAAAAATGCTTTTTAAAAATATGCCTCCCAAGGATGACCTGAACCTTGTACTTGTCCATTTTCTCTTTTTACTTCCCAAAGGAAATGTTTTCTTTTCTCCTGATAAACATTATGAACCTGTTTATTCAGTCATTGAACGTAAGATATGAGACCTTCAGTTACTCACTCTTTAAGGCGCCCATGATGTTCCTTCCGCTGGAACTCATGACTACTTAGAGAAGACACATTTCCCTCTTTCTTCAGTGAATGAGCCTTTCCGTCTTTAGCAATGTTTGCCATCATCAGAACCTATGGAAGAAAACTCCTGTCAAAACATCGGACGAAAGATCTGACACCATTTTTAGTATAACTCAGATATTCATTCTCAATACAGTACACAGATACTTTTTCTACCATTTTTGAACAGAGATGTGGAGTTTCTTTAAGAGTGATTTTTAATGTATGGTGTTATTCAGGTCAGTTCAACTGATAACTTTTATTTATGCAGTTGTATACTTACTCCACATAAGCAGATATTAAACTGCAGCACATTGCTGAACTACAGCAGAGGCTAAGGTCACTGAAAAAAAAATAGCCATGCGTAGAAGAAAAGATAGTATCCCATACTAGAAAACAATATTTTTTATTGATCCCATTTATTTATTTTTTTGTTGTGTTTTTAAAAAAATATATTTATTGATTTTTTTTTTTTAACAGAGAGGAAGGGAGAGGGATAGAGAGTTAGAAACATTAATGAGAGAGAAACATCAATCAGTTGCCTTCTACATACCCCCCACTGGGGATGTGTCCACAACCAAGGTACATGCCGTTGACTGGTATTGAACCTGGGACCCTGGAGACAACAGGCTGACACTCTCCACTGAGCCAAACTGGTTAGGCTGTTGTTGTTTTTAAATCGTTATTGTTGAGAGTGTTACAGATGTTGCCCTGTCTCTCCCAGTGCCACTCCTCCACCCGCTCCCCACCCCACCCCATGTCTTCTCTACCTTATTGTCAGTGTCCATGGGTGATGCATACATGCATATAAGTTCTTTGGTTAATCTATTCCTTCCCTCCCTCCCCCCTTCCCTCTGAGATAGGTCAGTGTATTCCATGTTCCCATGCCTCTGGGCCTATTTTATTCATCAATTTATTTTGTTCATTATATTTCTTGCTTGTTTATTTTGATTTTTAGATTCAATTGTTGATAGGTGCGTATTTATTGCCATTTTATTGTTCATATCTTTGCCTCCTATTTATTCTTGATAAAAGTTTGCTAATTAATATTTGTGATTATTTTAAAACTTCAAATTGTCATTCCCAAAGGGTATTCCCCTCCCCCCCTCCCCCCCAAGCAACCATGGCTGGCTTTGTAAAAAACAAACAGAACTTAACTCTTAACTCAGTATTTTATTGGAACCCCTCCTCCCTCACAATCACTTGCTTAAAAGCTGGAGGTAGGAATGGACTTCCCATTACTTAGACGATAACTCTACTGCCCTACTGCCTATATACCAATTTAGATATTCATTTAAATTACTGTATTTTCTGTAAATCTGAGAGTCCTAGCAAGCAGACACTGTGCCAGACACTAACGCTGGCAGCTGGGTGGCTGGGCCGGACAAGAACATCACCTCAAACCAGTGTCTCAGTGTCAGGGCAGAGACAAAACACACCGAAGGGCAGACATGTGGCAGAGGTGTGCTGTGTATTGGGAAGAGAGGAGTTGGTGTACGTGTGTGTGTGTGATTGTGTGCCTGTGTATGAGGGTGTATTCATGAGTGTGAGCATCTTTGTGTAGGTACCTGTGAGTGTTTCTCTCTGTGGGCATGTGTCCTTGTGTGAACTCGAGTCCTCATGAGTGTGTGAGGCTGTATCAGTGAAGTGTCTGTGTCCACGAATGTAAGCATGTGCCTGTGTGAACCCGTGTGCATGTCTGTACATTTGTGTGCATGAGTCATTTTCGGGGTGTACCTGAGTGTGTGGCTTTGTGTGTGTGAACCTTTTTGTGTGATGTGTCTACGTACTGAATGTATGTGTGAGCTGTGTGTGAGCATCTGTATGCGCGCATGTGTCTGTGGAGTGTCCAAGTGTGTGGACAGGGCACACTGAGACGGATGCAGTGGCACATGCAGGTTCCCATCCAAAGGGACACAGACCTGCGTCCACTCACCTGTTTTCCATGCTGCCTTGAAGGCTCCAGTTGGAACCTGAAGGTGGAGGAGTGGGGGAGGGCCTTGGGCTGCCGGGGGGCGCCAGGCTGGGCTCAGGAAAATGCTCAGGACTGGCCAGGTCTGCACTGGGCATCACCAGAAAGCCCAGATGCGCAGGTGACCACGTCCAGGTCACAATGGGGTCACCTTTTCTTATTTGGGGGAAGAGGATTCAGGCGTCAGAGAGGTGGTGGCCCAGGCAGGCAGGCTATTCCTCCCCACGGGGGGCCTCCTTCCCGGGTCCCTGCAGCGCAGGAACTTGTGGTCCCCTTTCTGTCCTCTGGTCTCCGCCAGCCCGATGCACCTCGGAGAGCGCGCACTTACCTGCCCAGCGCCTCCCAGACCGCAGCTCCTCCACTCGGCGAGGCTCCCTCCTCCCCTCCTCGGGCCTCCATCTGCCTGCAGCCTCCCTCCACTGCCCCTGGCTTGTCTCCCTCCACTGCTCCGAGGCTTGTCTCCAGGGTGACTGCTCCAAACAGAGCCCTCCGCCCGCCCCGGGCCCACAGAGCAGCTGCCTGGCCCCCGGGCCGCCCTAAGGCGTCCAGGATCCGTCCTCACTGCCCAGCACCGTGCAAGCCAGGCTGCTCCCTGCAGGGGAACCGGTTCACGCTGTTCCAGGAAGTCATGGGAAGCTCAAGAGGCAGCTGAGCTACCTAGCCAGGGCCTCCATTTTTAAAAAATTTTTTTAAGGAAATGAAGAATCATTGAGTAACATGCTCAAATCTATTGTTAAATTATAGAGCTGGGACTTGACCCACTTCAATGCCCTTGCACAGTGTCAGACAGTTTTCTCACCTGGCCAAGCTAAATCTGCAATAAAATTTTCCAAAAACGTGGACAAAATTTTAAGAGGCTGGTAATAAAAGAGGTTCACAACTGAATTTATTTTTATGGTTTTTATTTATTTTTCAGGAACATCCCCCCCCACCCCAACACACACACACATTTAAACATTCACTCGGATATCCCATCTTTAACTATAATTAAACTCTGTTCTGCTGTTCTAAACTGGGAACCTGACTTGTAGTAATGTGCCATGATAAATAATTGGATATTTAGGATTTATGAAATGGGTGATTGGGAAAATTATGAAGGAAACCCCCCCCCCACCACATTTGTAAAGATCATTATTTACAAAAAAAAAAAAATGATACCCATACCTTTTCTAACTTATATAGCAAGTAATGTTAAATGTTCTCAAGATGACAGTAAGTCAGCACTGCACCTCCATGTCGCCATTGCTCAGCTTCTTTTGCTGGTTTTGTCTGGGGCCAGCACAGAGCCTGGGGCTTTCTCACAGACAGAGCGGTAAGGGCTCTGGGAATCAAGTGTTCCTTGCTGAATTATTCAGGAGGAAAGAGCCAGGCATCAACATTTCAACTAAATTTAAAAAGTATTTGTAAGTATTTTAACCCATAATTCCTTGTGTAAACGTTTTATGCCCAAGGCATTTTGTGAAAATACATAACCGGTAACAAGGTAATAAACCCATTTTATGTTTGCATCACAGGTCACGGAGAACTCTAAATACAGGCTGCCACCAACTCAAAGTATAGTGTACACTAACAGCCTCTTCCTTAAGAAAGACATTTGATTGGATTTTGTTACCTTTACAAACACAGCAAAATTTCTGAGATTCTTTCCCTAGTTTCTCTTATTGTTAAAAAAAAAATCATGCCTTATATTACCACTGTGTAGGCATGAAAATTAGAATTTGATCATTTTATTCATACAGATCTTTTCCTATGAAAAATTAAAAAAATTTTATTATAACCCAATAATATTCAAATAGTTTATAAAGCCAGCTCTTGCAATTACTGCTTACCCTCCAGTGGAGACCTGCTCACAGATAGGATTAATAGATCCTCATACCAACACTTGGTTTTTCAAGAAAAAGTATTCAACAGTAATTTTCCAACTCTCTTAGAGTGCATGTGCATGAGAGAGGGATCAGATAGGCGCCCATCTCTTTCATCTGTATCCATTAAATAAAGCAAGATAAATACTGGCCTGCAAAATTAACACAGCTATAAGAATGGTCCTTCTGGCATCTCGTAGGAAAAGGAAAAAAATCGGACTTTGGACTTTGGAACATGGATCCCAAATGAGTCATTTGGTTCAATATATAAAATAGTTTGAAGTATTGCGGGGGGGCAATGTTAAAATATGTACACAGATAATAACTTAATAAAATAAATAAATAAATAAATAAATAAATAAATAAATAAAAAATCAGTACTGATAACAGGGAAAAAAGTAAAATAGTCTGAAGTAATGATGTATGAATAATACTGAACATTAGTTTTGCCAAAAGAAAAAAAGAAGTGAAAATGTTAAATATACAACTGAATTAGATGGAATTAACATTTGCATGATATAATATTCATGAAATAATTGTAAATGGTAAGTAGTTTGTGATCTATCAAGCTGATTCATAGACTCTAAATGAAAAACTGAATTAGATTTAAAGAAATGTAATAATTCAGCTTTATTCTTTTGTCTGAAAACAGTTCACTCAGGAATTTCTTTAAAAGAATTTTGTTTTGTGCAGAACAATTGATTTGAAAAATGAAGGAAAGCAAAAATTGTGAAATGCTCTTTAATAGAGGATAGAGTCCTGCAAAATCTATACTATTGCATTCCTCTTAGCTTTAGCAAAAATGTTTTTCATATAGTTTCTAACAAGATTATATAAAATGCTGTCAGCGTTAATCTATCATGATTCAATTTCTTAAAGCTGTTTAATAAAATATTACCAAAGATTGCTCACAAGTGTTAATTTCACTCTGCAAAGAATTTGCACCATCAAATAGTAGTCTGATGTGGTCATAATACTTAAAATATTAAAACAATTTCATTATTTTGTTTTGAATATTTTAGGTGGTAAAGTTAAATTCACTATGATGTAGTAATAAAATTTAAATTCACTTGAATGGCAGGAATCTCCCTTAAAGTTGAAATAAAAAACTAGAGCAACCATTCAAAGTCCTGTTGGTTATATTATTTATAGTTGGTGAAAAATATGTAAACTGGTGTTAAAACTTTTCTAAATTTCTTCAAGGTGTTTTTAGGGGAAAAAAGTGTTACCCT